CCAGCAGTTTCCAGTTCATGGTAGGCTTGGGCCTCGGTGGTTCCAGGGTTGTTCAATTCAATTTATTTATACAGCGCCAAGTCACAACGGAAGTCATCTCAGGGCACTGAACAGAAACATTCACATAGATGAAAAAGCACCTTAGTAAGAGTTCTCTATCTAAAGAAGCAGAAGATTGGATTGAATCTTCATTTTATCGCAGTCTCCCATCCTGAGCAAGCACAAAGGAAACAGTGGAAAGAAAAACTCCCTTTAACAGGAAGAAACCTCCAGCTGAACCGGGCTCAGGACGAGCAGCCATCTGCTTCAATCAGCTGGGGTTTGAGAGGACTGTATAACACTGGGCTGTGACTGTTGGCAACTAGATGGAGGCACAAACTTTTAAGATAATGTGAATTTTCACAGAACTGGTTCTTACAACAATGTTGATGATGTAAGTTTTCATTCAACCAGACAGGTTAATCACATTGAGCCTCGAGGACTCATTTACAAGAGAGACCTGATAGTAACTGTAAAAGCAAATTTGAGACATTTGTGCAACAGTCTTGTCACGAATATGCAAATTTATTTGTTGTAATTTAGTTCCAGATTGTCCTAATTTTGTCTCAATTTAAATCAAACCTTATTCTAATTTTTTGTCTCCAATCAGTCATAATTTGGTTTCATAAGTCACCAAACACTCCCAATATTGTTGCGCATTTGTTGCGCACTTTCCAACTTATGGATGCTAAATTGAGTCAGTTTCAAAACAGGTTGGAGATTGTTTTGAGACAGGTTTGAGATGGATTCACGACACTCACAATGACAATGACTATTTTGAGAGAATTTGTTTAGCAAATTTTTCAAATACATTTAAAAAAAAATTTGAGACAAGAGAAAGACCCCATGACCTGTGAATAAATTGAGAACACATAGATGCTTTGAGACATTTTTGAAACTTCCTGACAAACTTCTGTTTGCAGCTGAACACCGACAGCCACAGCCTAGTTCAATGGCTCTATGGTAATCAGATGCAGAACTCGTGAAAATGAGAAAGAACTCGTTAATTTCTTTTTTTTTTTTTGTTTTACCTAAAGGGTTTTGTAACCTGTGTTTTTGTTCTGCAGCCACCAAACGTTTTTATTCCTCGAGTACTGTGACGCATCACGGTGGAAGGGTGCTAAATAGTGGAAATAGTTCTGTTGCTGTGGTTAGTGAAAGTCTTTCATGCAGACCACTGCTCTGCACTAATTATTTTCAAGGGTGTGAGTAAAACCTGTCACCAGATGAATTACTACAGTGCAACTGAGTGTGTCCAGTGCACCAGTTCACAGTGTGAATCCCAACCACTACAGATAGAGTATTACTTATCATAAACGGTCACTGCTCCTGTGCTTTTTCCTTCTTCCATGCATCCAGAATCATCCCTTTTTGTCTCTAATGACACGCCTGCTCTAACAGTGACAGGCAGAAATAAAGAGTGAGGGGATGAATCATTCCAACCAGTCCTCCAGAATCGGCTGCATTCCTCTGTTTGTCATCAGCCTGCCTGGTGAGGGGAAACAGGGGGGTAAAAGAGGAAAGCTACCTCATTGTTCTCAGAGTGACGTCAGACATTCTACAGTAGCTTAAACACACACAGTCAGAAATATGTATGACACTCTGTGAAGCCCACAGCAGTGTGAGGATCAATCAGCTGCCTTTTTGGATGGGTTCTATTTTAAGAGCTTCTCTTCCTTTATGTCTAAAAGTCAAAACAATCTTTCAGTGGTGGCTGGTTAATAGAGGGCGCTAGGGTGCCGCCCCACCACTCAAACCACTCACCATATTACCTTGAAGGCCTAAAAAAAAAAAAGAAATAATAAAATAAAAACATTTCGAAATACATGCTTTTTTGTTTGTTTTTTTGTTGTGTAAGATAAATAATTTATAGTTAATGTTGAGTTCAGTTGTTTCTTTCAAAAACATTGTCTCTGATTGATGACGTATTTCCGCCCTGGGTGCGCAAGAGTCTTTGCCCATAGACTCTTGTTAAAAGTTGTACATGCAGCTCCTCTTCATTACAAGATATAGGAAGATTCTGGGCGCACCACTCCTGCGCCCAGATTACGGGCACACGATACAGATCATGCTTCTGGTACCGGAACAATTTTTTTGGGTGGTTCCGGAACAGATCATGCAGTGAAACTTACAACCAGACTATGTTGCAGGTAGACTTTAAGACATTGAAAGCCCTTGATCTAATGCCTATGTTGCCATTTCTGACTGATATGCCTCTCAATATCTATATGTGTGTGTGTGTGTTTGTGTGTGTGTGTGCGTGCGTGCGTGTGTGTGTGCATGCGTGTGTATTTTGAAGTTATAGCCCCGCCAGAGAAAACTTGACCAGCTTTACATGCTGGCAAAAAGTCCAGAAATGATAATTAACCAGCTGTTTCTTCTAAATCAAATCAAATTTGTTAATATAGTGTATTTAAAATTACTAATGGTCAATGTGTTGCATAAAAACAATGAATAGTAAAAATTAATACGAAACACAGGAAAAAAAACTAACGCAAATACAAACAAAGAAAAAATTTTAAGATATAAAAATCAAGAAAATTATGCAAAAAGTATCAACTCTCATTCCAGATTTGAAGCAAAAATGTGTTTTTAGATGATCCTTAAAAGCACAGAGAGTTGAGGTCTGATATGAAGAGACAGCTGGTTCCATAGGAGCTACAACTAAACTGTTAGGATTTGTGTCAGGAGCGAACCCAGAGTGCAGAACAGGGACTCAACTCGGCAGAAATACAAAAATAGGTTTTTAATGATAAACGAAAAGTACAAAATAAACAAGCTGACGGGGCAGCAAAACTTACATGGACATAGGAGGCACGGGGAACTCAGGAGACACGAGAGACACGGGGAACTCGAGGAACCAGGAAGACTCAGGGAAAGACTCAGGAGACCCAAGGAAGAGTACCAAACGAAGACGACCCGACGAAGAACAAGACAGAATAGGACGGCTTAAATACAGGGACAAGACGAGACGTGATAGCAAACAGCTGGGACGAGACACAGGTGGCAACAATGGAACTAATGAGGGAGCACGAGGGAAACAGACACAAACCGGGCCACAGAAAAGTACCATCCTTACATAAACCTCTGTGGATCAGCCTGGACAGCTATACCCAATTGATCATTAGATTTAAGGGATCTATGTATTTTTCTACAACTGTCTTTTTTTTTTTAAACTAGGACGTTGCATGAAATGTAAATGAAAACGAAATGAAATGATTGGCAAACCTCATAAAACATTTATTGGATGTGGAACATATTATATTTGCTGTTGTTTTTCTTTTGGCTGCTTCCTTCAGCAGGGGTCACCACAGTGAGCTCAGATGAAAGATTTGTCTGATGTTTTATGCTGAACGCCATGCCTGACACAACCTGGCCTCAAACCTGCAGCCTAAAGATTAGGCACCGCCCACAGAGCTACAGCAGCCTCTTTACAGTGGAACAAAGTAAACATTTCAAATGTTTAAGAAACTGTATAACTTGGTGGGAAAGTAAGGTCTTTTTCAGTTTGACCACAGTACTGCATTCTTAAAGATTGGGACAGGGTCATGTTTCCATCGTGTGAAGCAGCTTCTTTTCTTCTGTGACTTTTCCCAGCATTTTAAGGTGTTGAAACTCTGCTAATCTTCATCCATCCATCCATCCATCCATTCATCCATTCATCCATCCATCCATCCATCCATCCATCATCCATCCATCATCCATCCATCC